TGTCACAGCCAAAATATATATATATATATATATATATATATCGTCAAATAGAACTGCCCGGTAAACCGTAGGCAGAGAGGGAGAAGAGGACAACAAATGAGGGGCTGTGACAAACTGTTTCGTCGGAGTTTCACCGACTCATCAGGAGGTTGATATATATATATATATATATATATATATATTGCCGAACGGAATATATACTCCATGTTGTGCCTCTAGTGCCAGCGGCGTGTCTGGAGTGTATTTCTTGGCTATGACAGACGTTTCTTTGTTTCGTGGGGGTTTTGCTTGCTTGTGATGGGGTGTGAACCGACAGTCTGTAGAGTTTTCCATCTGGTGTGGGTGAGTGATAGTCTGCTTTGACTTTTGCCACAGGTACCTTGAGGGCAGTGGTTGGTGCCCACCTCAGGGTATCAGTTGTCGGGCAGTCGTTGATACTTAACCACAGCCGGGGTTAAGGTGGATTATCACTTACAGTGCAATCAGTTAGGGGATTCTGCAGACTGTTTTTGAGGGTTCAGCCTCCTGATGAGTCGGTGAAACCCCGACGAAACAGTTTGCCACAGCCCCTCGTTTCTCATCCCCTTCTCCCTCCCTCTCTGCCTACGGTTTACTGGGCAGCTCTGTTTGACTATATATATATATAATTATTTATATATATATATATATTGTCAAACAGAGCTGCCTGGTACACCGTAGGCAGAGAGGGAGACGAGGACAACAAACGAGGGACTGTGACAATTTGTTTCGTGACTTTCATCAGAGTTTCCGTGTATATATGTCGTCAACTTGTCACATATGTAAAAACAGCACACTTTGCGGAACGAAGGACGATGAAGGAAATGGCAGACAACATGAAACACAGTGAAACTGGCCTTTTCCCTTCTTTCTTTTTTTTTTTCTTTTTTTCTTTTTGCCTTCTCCTGCACATTTCCTTTTTTTCTTTGTTTTTTTACTTTTTTCTTTTTTTCTTTTTTTTCCCTTTTCTTTTTGAAGTTTTTCACTGTTTCTCTCTAATTAGTAATTTTTTACTAATTTACTAATTTGAACTAATTTCCTTTTCGTTATCCCCCCTTACTATGACTATCGAAATGAAAAACCAGACATGGACTGCGCGAATTTCATAAATGCCCTTTCTCTCTAATTACTAATTTACTAATGTGGTTAACGTGCCCAATCCTTGTAATCTTTCAAGCAATGAAAAACCAGACATGGACTGTGCGAATTTCATAAATGCCCTCCGTACGATACATGCAATTAATTGAAACTCGTCTGAATTTGAGATCCATTGAATGGAGGCAATTCAACTCGAGCTCGACCTTGACACCGAAGCTAATTTCAGAAATCGATCGCCTTAACCGCGGAACCAGTTCAACTTGACATTTAAAAACTGGATTTAAATTTTAAAATTTAAATCTTAGCCTGAAGTCGGTTTCTGCGCTGCACGATCCCAAAAGGGTCAAAATGTCTGAAAGCACCTGTGAAGTTGTAAAGTTGGGAGATTTGAAAAAAAAAAAAAAAAAAAAAAAAAAAGGCAGGAGGAAAGTTATCCACACTGCCTCCACAGCACAACTGCCATGATCCCAACTGCTATGCTATGTAGTTCGACGAATCGCGCACCGAGGATAATTAGTCAATCTGTTCACGTATCACTCTTCTCCTGCAGTGGGAAGACTGAGCCTCTACCTTGGATGCCTGAACGAAAATTCCACTCGTCTTCACACCGTCACGCACACACACACACACACACACACACACACACACACACACACACCTTTCCCCCCCTGATGAGCCGGTGGAAGTCCGACGAAACAGTCTGGCACAGTCATGCTTTTTTTTCTGTGGAGTTGTGTATAGCGAACACGACACACACACACACACACACACAAACACACAGAGTCTGCCAGAATAGGAGGGTTGGTGTGAGTAAAGTGAAACCGCTTTTTTTCTCTCGCAGGGGTGTCACTACCACTGGGCGACGTGGTGAGTCCTTATCCATCAGTCAAATGCATCCTGGGCAGACTGTATGTCCAGGTTCAACCTCCTGACGAGTCGGTGAAAGTCCGACGAAACAGTCTGGCACAGTCAAATGCTTCTCTTGTGGAGTTGTGTACAGTGAACATGACAACAGACCTCAATCCCTCCCCCTCCACCCCCCCCCTGCCCCGCCCCCCCAAAAACACAGACGCAGATGTCTGCATGTGAGCAATGAAGTGCAACACGAAATGTGCACACATTAGCACATGCATGCACACATTTTGAGCGACTGCGGCTTTTCCTCTGTCCCTCCTCCCTTTTCCTTCACTGCCCTCTTCTTCTTAATTCCTGTCCTGTTTTTCCTTTGTTTTCCACTTCGAATTGCCTATCATAGCCGTTGTCCGTTTTTTTTTGTTTTTTTTTTCCCCTCTGTGGAGCGATGAATTAATCCTCGCTGTACCGAGCCTCACTGACAACCTGCACATTGTCATGGGCAAAACATCACTTGGATCTATTGTTTAATGCTTGGCAATGCTTCAAAATTCAAACTGATGGTCACCGTGACGGTCACCGTGGTGGTCCACACAAGAGGATTGCAGGTGCCGCCTCCTATGAGTGGATGCTTGCTCCTCCCGTTTGTTCAATTCTTAGAAATTTTAAGTGCATTGTTGGTTCGTTTTGCAAGTCGGACAACGTTTACCTCCTTCTCCCTTTTTTTTTCTTTCTTTTTCTTCTTTCTTTTCTTCTTTCTTTTCCTTCTTTCCTTTTGTTTGAGTAGTCGTAGAACTTTCCGTACCTAGTGCAAGGAAATGCTATGATCCTTAGTGGTGACGGAGTCGGGCACCTCTCTCCAGCCACCAAAACTTCAAGTTGGAGCTTTGTTCTTCGTTCGCGCAATTCATCGAGTTCTATCTATTTTTTAGAGTCAGTAACTGTATTCAACTGCATTCAAGTGTATTGTTCATTCGTCCGGGAGCGAGATGCTTTTTTGAATCATCAGCTCCCCTTGTAATACTTGGTGGGGACGAAGGGCATCTTCGTGACGACGGAATCGGCCAGTTTCCCGCGAACCGAGACTTGCAGTTTGGTCCCTGGTTTGTGATACCCGTTCTTGACGTAGCCCATGGAGATGTTCTTCTTCAAGCATGGACTGAATCCGCCGCTGGTCACCTCGCCAATTGTCTCCTGACCCGCCTCATCCAGGATCGTGGAGTGGCCGCGAGGAGGAGCCCCTGAGGAGATCAATCCAACACGTCGCCTAGGCGGTCCCTCCTTAATCTGCTGCAGAATGACCTCAGCGCCAAGGAAGCCACCCTCTGCCCTCCGCCGCTTGCCGACCGTCCACGCAAGACCTGCCTCGATGGGTGTGATGTGTTGCTCGAGGTCGTTCCCGTACAGACAGAGGCCAGCCTCAAGTCGCAAGCTGTCGCGAGCACCCAGGCCAGTCAACCGCACGTCACCGGTTCCCAATATCGCTTCGGTCACAGAGACCGCTTTCTCAGACGGAACAGAGATCTCGAAGCCGTCCTCGCCAGTGTACCTGTGCGTGTGTACCCACATACAGAGTCGCATATGTATCAATGAAAAGAGCACACTTTGGGAACAAACAACAACAAAATATATATATATATTATATATATTATCTAGGCTACCAGAGTGGCCCGGGGCCACTTGCCCGGCCGGGCCCAAAAAAAATAAAAATTAAAAAAAAATAGAGATTATTTTTTAACTTTAATTTTTATTTTAAATATGGTCAAGAAATTCGATGTCACCCTGAGGCAAAAGTTGTTCAGTTTATTTTTCTGCATAACATAGTTTCTTTTTGGCTTTTTTTGACGTTTTCTATTTTCGTTTTTTTTTTCGTTAGGACCGTCCCTGGTCCTTGCACGGCCGGGCCGTCCGGGAAAATAGGGTGACCCGGGCGGCCCGGCTGGTAGCCTAGTATATTTTATATATATAATATAATATATATATTTATATCCACCATACATGCGGTGCACCACGTGCGTGCAACTTGCACACGTGTGCCTCATGCCGCATAGCGCATGCTCACACGTGATGTGGCGCATCTACAAAATAACTCTAAAAAAAAAATAGTAAGCCGCGGTAACCTTAAGTGTCCCTCGGACTCCCTCCTTTTTTAAAAATCGTAAGTGCACAGAAGAAAAAAAAAACTATTTTGGAGCCACTTCGTACCACTCATTGGATATATTCTCTTTTCCAAAAGGTCCCCTGCAAACCATCAGTGGGTTCCCATGCTTTTGGAAGGATGTTCATTGAACTGCTGACAGACCACGAGCAGGCCAGCAATATATCCTGGCTTCGGATTGTTCCAAGAGTTATGGGTTACGAAAGTTCTACAAACACTGCAGTAGCTGTGTCGTTTTTTTATTTTCCCTTTTCTTACCCGCAGTTGCCCTAAGGGGGCCTGGCTTCACTCATCAGCACTTGCACAAAAGAAAAACATATGGATTGTATGGTTCCAGTTTCTAGGAGAAGATTCAGTCTACAGTAGTTTTGCACATTTGGTGAGTAGTGGAGTGCAGCGCTGAAAATCACATGCAGAGTTAGTAAGTCAATAACCCATAACTGCTGAAACACCGACCTGAATTCGAAGATACACAATAAATAGCTGGCCTTCTCAGTCCTTACTAGAAATCCAGTGACTACCAGTCCATTGACCACCCTTCTCCAGCCGACGGGTCCCTTGCCAATTTTTTGGCAAGGGACCTTTCGAAGTACAGGCAGGGGTTGTCTGAATAATATGATAGGGCTCTTTGCTCTCTCTCTCTCTCTCTCTCTCTCTCTCTCTCTCTCTCTCTCTCTCTCTCTCTCTCTCTCTCCAGCGTGTATACACACATCACGGTTGCTTCTTTTCTTTTTCTTTTTCTTTTTCTTTTCTTTTCTTTTCTAAATTCTTTCTTTCTTTCTTTCTTTCTTTTTTCTTTTTTTCTTTCTTTTTTTCTTTGTCTTTTCTTTTCTTTTTTTTTTGCGCATCTGTGATCAGCGCAGCGCAGTTCATGTGCGTGCCGCAAGTATGATATCCACATACTGCCCGGTAAACGGTCGGCAGAGAGGGAGGGAGAAGAGGACAACAAACAAGGGGCTGTGACAAACTGTTTCGTCGGAGTTTCACTGACTCATCAGGAGGCTGCAGAATCCCCTAATTGATTACACTGTAAGTTATGATTCACCTTAACCCCGGTTGTGGTTGAGCATCAACGACTGCCCTCAAGGTTTATATAGATGCATATATAATATATGTATATATCTAGGAAGATTTTCATGCCCGGCCGGGCACCGGGGCGTGATGCTCAGAATACCCGGGCGTGCAAAAACTGGAAAAAAGAAAAAGGATTTTTTTTTTGGTTTTCTGCACTCTCCTAGAGGACCCCAAATCCGGGCTCATTTCTATTTTTGAGAGTTGGCTTTCAAGGGGGGAAGAGGGGGGTATACAGTGGTTTTGAAGGGGCTCAAGGGGTTTACAAGGGGGTGCTTTAGTGTGATTCTGTTATTTTCTTTTTTATCTCCGATTCCATGAGGAATTCCAATGTGATCCTCAGCCAAAAGTCGTTTGTATTGGAGTTCTACACAACTTAATTTTTTCCAGATTTTTTTTTTTTTTTTTTTTTTTGTGCGCGCTGAGGCTGCCCGAAACCCTGCCTGGGGGTTCATGCCCGACCGGGCACCCGGACATAAGTCGGGTGCCCGGGCGCCCAGAAAAACAGCCTAGGTATATATATATTGTCAATATACATTGTCATATAACTGTGAACTAAAAGAGCACACTTTGGAAAACAAAAGGCAAGGATTACAAAAATTAAAGGAAAAAAATGAGGGGCACTGAAACCATTCATTTTTATCCTTCTTCTTTTAACTCCCCCTTCAGTATGCCTCTCACGTACAAGGCTCGCTATGTTGATGAAGTTGAGTGCGAGCTGCCCGCATCTCTGTGTGCCATAACGACCTACTTGTACGCTGTGAGAAAGAGGTAGAGTAAAGGGGGAGGTGATAAACACAGGGAAGAGAGATGAAGAGAAGACAAACAAAGAACCAAAAGGGAAAGTACGAAATGTGGAATGAAGATGAAGCCAAAGGAGAGGATAAGAAAAGCTCAAGAGTGCGTGTGTCCTTGACGACAAAGAGGACACACATTGTAAGCCTTAGGATGAGGTGGGTGAGCACATGGAAGACCTAGCTGAGCATTATCAGCACAACAATTGCCACGACGGCTGGCGTTGAGCATTCCCACCATACGCTATCGACAAATGGCATGTCGATTGCAGGCCAAAATGAAGGAAGAACGCTCAGTGACACCACACAAGACCATGCATTCAGTATAGCGCCCATGGCCGCAAAATGGACATATACTGTCCGGATGTGGAGGGTACCTCGGTCAGGAACAAAGGGACAAGCCTCTACACACATGGATGTAGAAACCATCTGCTTGTAGTGACTATGACGGAGACGATGGCGGCTACAGCCGAGTGTAACAGTGTCTGTAGCTATGCAAAGGAGAAGGTCGCAGAGTGTCAGTATATTGTCCTGCTGGAGCACGGGTTGGTACATTGTCCTGCTGGAGCACGGGGCCAGAGCAATGATGATCTTCGATATAAAAGAGATTGCGGACAGTTTGGTGAGGCAAGAAAACAGCATCATTATGTAAGAAATCAGTAAAACATCAGTCATGGCATGGACCATGATGCCGTTGTCCCACAGCTCCCAGTGGTCAGAGGCATGTAAGATGGTCGTGCAATGGCCATGTCTGTGCACAATGGAGGGAGAGATGTGGGATGGAGGATTAAACCACTCACCTGCTCGAGCACTGCGTAGTTCAAGTTGGCGGTCCCTCATTGCTAGTTGTAGGACAGCAATGGTAAAGCCTCTTTCACTTGTATAATCACAATCCTCTATCGGTACGTGGGGGAGATCAGCATCAAGTTGAAGGGCGGTAGCAAGGAAGTCTGATGGTGTATAAACAGGCGGTGGAGAATGTGAAGACAAATATTAGTTGCAGTCATACCACAGAGATTGGTGAGGGTCTCAGGTTGGTGTGTCGGATGTTGGCCAACGATCTGCAGATCACCCGGCTGGTGTTGCAAGCCCAAAATGTCTTGGGTTGTTTGCTGGTCAGTCATTTGCAGATCACCCATGTGGTTTGCGCGTGGAGGGGCACAAATTCATGGTTCGTCCAAATGATGTCGGTCAACCATTTGCAGATCCCCCATGTGGTCTACGCCTTGTGGGGTTAACTGCAATCCGGGCAGATCATGTTCCAATCCCTCAACGTTTGGGGCCGCATCCTGAGCAGGGACTGTTTTGGGAATCTCGAGTGTACTCTGGGCAGGGACCATATCTTGTTGTACAGGTGGAACATCTAACGCTGAAGGGCACAAGACATGGTGCCGTGGCTGCCTGACAGAGGCATAGGAGTGGATATTGTCGTTTAGAACAAGGAACCGCAACAAACTGTGGCGTAGGCACACAGAGAATTGGGCCAGACAAAGAAACAGGCCGCTAATCCCCGGACAAGTGACGATGCCGCAAATGTCGTTAATGATACACAATAAGGGGAGTAGTGGTGTTGCAAACAGAAGATGAACATATCCCTAGCAACGAAGGTGGAACAACGGCAACAATGGAAACTGGAGAGTCTGTTCGCAAGCGAGATTGTGGAGGAGATGGGGGTGGCGAGGACGAACGCAGCCGTCTGCGGCCAAGCACAGAAAAAGATGAAAGGGGGGCAGATTGGGCAGGATTTCGAAACAAAGGGCGTGAGTGTCGCAGAACGAAGGTGGAACAACGGCAACAATGGAAACCGGACAGTCTGTTCGCAAGCGAGATTGTGGAGGAGATGAGGGTGGCGAGGAGGAATGCATCCGTCTGCGGTCAAGCACATAAAGAGATGAAAGAGGGGCGGATTGGGCAGGATTTTGAAACAAAGGACGTGAGTGTCGTAGAGGCGGTGATGCTCGTTGCGCTGGAGCTGCGGTAGAGGAAGCTGTAGCAACAAAAAGTATAGTACGGGGGCTGCAGCAGAGGAAGTTGTAGTGAGAACTGCAGTAGTGAAAACAGCAGTAGCAGAAACTGCCAGAGTGAAGACCAGAGTTGTGGAAAGTGTAGCGGTGGAAACCGCAGCAATGGAAATTGCAGCATCAAAAATTACTGCAGCAATGAAAACTATTGTAGCAGAAACTGCTGGAGTGAAAACCGAAGCTGTAGAAACTGCAACAGTGGAAACTGGAGCAGTCGAAGCTGCAGGAGCCAAAACTGCAGCACTGGAAACTGCAGTGGCAAAAAATGAACAAGCAGGAGAAGGACGATCGACGCGGGGGCAAAGAAGAAAGTGGATGATACAGCGACCATTGCAGCATGCGTCAGAACCACTGAGAGAAAGGCGTCATATGCGTAGGATAGCGACGCTGGCGGGAGCGCATGTAGCAGGTCCACCCTTTAGCAAGGGTTGGTAGGGAATGTCAACAAGAAAGCATGTGATGAGTAAGTGTTGTTGCCGCAGTTCGAAAATCCTACCAATTGTTGCAGATTTGTTCAAATTTGGTCAATCGTCCAGTGGACACACCCGCCGGTTGATGGGAAGGGATGTTGGAGGTTGCACTTGGATAACGAATGACAGGGAAAT